AAAATTTCGATTGACAAGTTAGTCGGTATTCTCGGCACAGCAATTAACGGGACTTGAACAGCGGAACTTTGTAACTGAACAAGAAATTATGTCTGTTTATAGAATTAAAGAGAAAGTATTATCACATAAAACGAAGCAACTTAAAACAACTTACATTGAAAGAAATGTTTAATAAAGTAAACAAATAAATATTAAGCTTTTTTTTTTTTTTTTTTTTTTTGTAAATTTTGATACCCTTAGATCATAATTGTTCTTTATTTCATTAATTATGGTTTTATATTTTTAATTTTAGAATTTCTGCATGCCATCTTACGAGATTTAAACTGATGATCGATAATCCGGAATCGCCGAAGTCCCGACGAGTCCGGATTAACGACTTTTGACTGTACTGTGTTTATGTGAGTATCGTTTGCTTCATTTTATTGTTGCAAACAGCGTAAATTTCTTTTGTTTCTCTTCCTTTAGTTTTGAACTTTATGTGTGGCAACAAGTTAATTGATTAATAGAATTGTGTTGTGTAGCCTGTAGAATGGCTCGCTTATTTTGTACCAATTATTTCGCATCGCTAACATCTTTTTATAATTAGTGTAATGAAGTAAAAGTGAAGGAATACAGTCCATGTGTTAAGTGATTATTGTTTGTGAAACATATTAAGTAAAGATCATTTATTATACTGTTTAGCGAAGAGGTAAAAGCTAATTGTAATTTACTGAAGAGAAACATTATTCTTCAAACAAGCTTGGAAGTAAACAAGCTTGCAAGTAAAGAGTCATTAAATTATTTTGAAAGAGACATGAAAAACAAGCAATGCCCTCGCCGAGCATCAAACCTGAACCTCTCGAAAACGCGCCGAGTGTGCTACCGTTACACCAAGAGGGCTTGCTGAAGAGGGGGGGAGGGGAGAAAATAACCTTATAAAGTTTATTGTAATAAACTGTATTTAATATAAAATTTAAGAAAGACCTAGTACTTTAAAGCAAACTGCTATAGAATAGAAATAACTACAGTTTGCAATATAATGTCCTAAAATGTTCCACACATGTTAAGTGTGAGGTTTCTTATCGGCTAATAATTATTCGCTAAATCTCTTCTCTACATATAATAAAAGAAAGAGTCTGTCTGTGTGTGTGTCTTTCGTTCGCGCTTGCGCGTAAGCTAATAGACCCATGGCTACGAAATTTGGTACATAGGTGCATCTAGACAAGAGCCAGTGCACCTCGAAGCGATTTTTTAGAAATTCGAATTAGAAATTTTTTTATTTTTTGTTTTGTGACGAAATCGCGTCATTCTGAGACATAATGGGTTTTAGGAAAGCGAGATTTTACTCTACACACTCCATTTTCACATCGTCATGAAACGTAGGCACTTAGCTATTTTACGAACTTAAAATAAATTTCGTGTTTCAATAAATCGATTAAATATGAATTTATTTAACAAAGGGAGCTTAACACCTTTTCAACGGGATTTTTTCTAAAAATTTTTATTTTTAAAAATGTACAATTTATTTATTTTATTTTATTTATTTATTTATTTTTTTTTTGATTTTTGGACACGTTAAAATTTTATCCTTGCGACTGCTTTTACAAAAAGAATTTTGGAAAAATGATAATATTTTGTATTTAAAAAATTTTTTTTTAAATGAAGCTTCCGAGTACACTTCTCACATCTCACATTTTTAAAAATGTGATTTTGGCAACAATTTTCCTGTCTGATTGTTGCTAATAGACTTTTGATGAAATCGCATCATTTTGAACAGTTTCATTCTTTTAGAAATATGGATTTGGCAACAATTTTTCATCGTATTTCTTATGTCACTTTTTAAGAGACTGGCATATTTCATTGTCATTTTATATTTAAACAAATTTAAAAGATATTGCAAGGTTTTGCATGATTTTTTTTCTTCAACGGAAAGTTGGTTAATTTTTTATTAGGATAATTAGGATAATTAATATTTGTGTTAAGGGATACAGCTTATTTCATTGTAATTTTTTTTCTTAAAAATATAAGTTTTGAGTAATTTTTTTTTTTTTTTTTTTAGGAAACAAAGTTCTTAACCTCCTTTATACCATTTGAGTTCTTAAGATTTTGCAAAGAGAAGTTGGTTAATTTATTTATTAAGATAATTAATATTTGTATTAAGGGATATTGCTTATTTCATTGTAATTTTGCTATATGTAATAACTTTTTTTTATGAAGTTGTTCTGCAGAGTAAAATTCTACGCAGTTTTTAAATTTAACGTTTGGTGTTCCCTTCAGCCATTTCTCCGGTACATTTAAAAGCCAGACGAAGGCTGGCAGCGAAGCTGCTAGTATGTAAGTAAAAGATTAGATTTAGTTACTAATCAATAAAAAGTGTTATAGTTATTTGACTTTGAATAGATCACGCTCATAGAATTCTTTATTTACTTCACTGATTTCGGCCAGGGTTAATGATCGAAATAAAAAAAAAAAATTGTTTGCATCTTTTTGGCTTGGTGATACTCTTAGTGCCTGGATTGTTTTCTTGACTGGAGTCCTTATGCATTTTGTCGTTGGAAAAAATACATAGACGGAATGTGGCTAGGGTTAGCGTTTGTTTGGAAATCATTTGCATTTTCTGCCACTAGTTTGCCCTTGCTTAAAGGAAAAGAAATTAAATTATATATTGTAAGAAAAATGAATATATTGAAAGTTTTTGAGAAATATTGCTTGCCAAGTTTCCTATAAATTTCATCAATACCTATTACTAGTTAAATATTGATTAGCCCAAAACGGTGCTGGCTCAAGTGAGTTTGGTCTCGGAACGAGATTTCGCGTCGTACAGTATAAAAGGCAAATAACTTTTCAAGTCGTTGCCACCAAATACTACCGCCATGTATTAACTTTAAAGAAATTAAATAATGAAGAATCTACATGTGTTCATGTACGTATGTTCCTCGCAATTTTAAAAAATGACTGTAATCAGGGCCAAGGAATTTTGAATAACGTTATCCTTCATCCGAATATGCACAAATAGAGGTACGAATTTTGTATTTCATATTTTATCATGCTGTAATGAATTTCTGATGAACAAACTCAACAATCTGATAGCAAGCAGTGGCAACACTGTACGGAATAAAGTATTTTTATCTCCACCGTGCGAGTCTCTATCGGAAATTCTAAAAATATACTGCTTTTAAATATTTTGTGGTTTTGCTGTTGATTGATGATTTTGTGGCGTAAAGAAAAGAAGAAAGGCTATTTAATAAATAAGGTCAATACACAAAAATGTTATTAATATAAAGACAAAAAAAGTTTTGCACTCTGCCTTAGTAAGGAAACTGAACACTGATATGATGAATTGAGAAAAGAAAAAAAGAAAAAAAAAAAAAACAAAAAAAAAAAAATCTGAAAGGTTTTAAATTACGTCCAAAGGGGCGTTTTTTTTTTTAACGTTTTGTGTGTTACCTTTATTTATTAAATATCATAATTCTTTGCACTTAAACCATAATATTCAGTTCAATAACAATGTCGCAAAATAATTTTAAAATGAGCATACCTTTTAGAATTTCCGACACACAGTTCCGCGCGCTGGAGATAAAAAGGTTTTTTTTCCTCCGTGGAGTGTTGCCATTACTCGCTTTTAAATCGTTGAGTTTGTTACTCAAAAATTCGTTAAAGTTTTACAAAATATGAAATCGATAATAAAGCAAATTCCAAATTTCAAATTTGGTCTTCCACATGCCCATATTCGTAGGAGGATTACGTCATTCAAAATTCGATGGCTGTATGTACCGTTGTTTTATCACAATGCGAGAGAAATAAATATATTTATGCAGATTTTTCCTTATTTAATTTCTTCAAATATAATGCAGGACTAAAACATTTGGTGGCAAAAGTTTGAAAAGTGAAACGGACATTTATAATGATTCAACGCAAAATCGCAAAACGAAAACACTAGTCCTTCAGGGCAAGAAGGTTAGAATACAACCTCTTTGTACTATTCTAACCTCCTTGCTTCAGGGACAAAGTCATTTGTACTTAGAAGGAAAAAAAAATACATGTATGGCAAATGTATGCCACTGCATTAGGAATTCTAAACATATGTTGCTATGCTGCTTTTAAAATTTTTGTAATTTTGCAGTTGAATTGCATAGCGTAAGCGAGAAGAAAATGGTGCTTAATCATAAAACTAGCAGGCGTGATTTTAACTACCAGATTGGTAGACTACGAGTTCAACGAGAGCGTAAAATGTCTTAATAAAATCCTTTTGGGCGATCGTTAAAATCAGTCTCTTCAGATTTTTTAAGTTTTTTAAGTTTCTAAGATTTTTATATATTTTTTGTGTTCTATATATTTTAAATTTATACCTAAGAAGTTAGTACTGAAATTGAAATCTAGAAATACTATTTAAATTAATATCTAAATTAGCGTAAATAAAAATTATTTGTTCGTCTAATCAGGTATAAATAATATACACACATATAAAATGCATTTATGTGTCCAGTAGTTATGCACTGAAAACATTATGAGTCAATTAAATAAAAAAATTTAATTAAAATACAGAAATAAATCCTTACTTTAGAAATTAAAAAGAACTGTGATTTTTAATAAAGGTTTAAATTTGAATTAGACATTTCTTCGCATGACATATATTCAAATAATTAAAATAGCAAGAAATATATCCTTTTTTGGAGAGGAAAGGAGATATTCAACTTCAGCAAATAAATTAATTGAATTAAAGAAATTGGTCTGTTTAGAGGAATTAGTTCTTAAATTTATCATTTTTCTTTTCAAAGAATTACGTTGAAAAGCAAAACAGTTATAAATTTCAGCTTTGACTTCAATCTATGAAAGAATTATTGTTTTAAAATTTAAACTTTGACTTCAATTTACATTAAACTGATAAAACAGTAGAAAGAGGCGTAAATTCAAAATTTCACTTGCGTAACATGTTTATTGTTGATAAGTCAGGTAATCTTATTTTCGTCCTTGTCCAAGCTAGCTCGCGTTAAACCACTTCTTTTGACTAAGGGGGGGGGAGCAGTTTTTTTCATTTTCATTATGTTCTTTATCACTTTTTTTTCGTAAAAACTGGTTTATAGATAGAAGCGTTCGCTGTTTGAAAGGGTAGAGTTTTCTTTATCGTTTCAATCTGCCGAGTTGACAAATTTTACTGAGATTCGTTTAGATTTCAAACAGCTTTCGATACAAGATGACGTTTCAGCCTTTACCGTTCTTGTTAAAAGGTTTGACACCAGAGTTGGAAACTAAAGCTTTCTTAGAGCTTGGAGAGACACCTAAGGTCAGAAACAATGCATTAGAAGAATTAAAGGAGCTCATCAAAAGTAAATACAATTTTTTTTGCATTTCTTATTTCGTTATGCTACGTAGTGAAATTACACTATATGTTACATGGTGATCGTCGCGCGTTATTTATCATCTCTATAAATGAGCAGTATTTAAGAATATACTCATTTATAGTACATCAGTGCATGAATAATACATCGAATAATACATCGGTGCGGATACATCGAATCAATAATACATCGGTGCGGAGAGTTCTGTTTTTCTGTAAGAAGACCACATCAGAATCCAAACAAGGTATTACAAATATTGATTGAAATTTGCTCAAAACTTCTAAGCTTAAAATATTTTTTAATATTCTATGCATTAAAATCTGCATTACTCGAAAAAGCCTTTTTTAATTAAATTAATTTTTATGCATTTCTGAAATATAAATTTTGTCCTCTAATTAATGCTTTGTACTTATGTAACATTCAGAATCGTCTGCGACGCAGTACACTTTAAATAACTGAATACATTTTTAAACTGTTTTCACTAACTTTTTGCATTTCCTGTGATATAGTAGCTTCATTACAATAGTTAGCACCGCTAATAAAAATTATAATGAAGTAGTAACCTTTTATCATAATCATTTAACCCTAATTATGATGCAATCATAACCGCAAAAGTATGTGGCCATCTCAAATAACGAGATTCTTAAGAAATATAATATTCTTTCACAAATGGCCTTCTCAGTTACTAGGACTTCCTATTTTATCTTCTAGTTCTATTTATCTTTGATTTATTTGTTTCTTGCTTTTGTGTATAGTTTGGCACTTTATTTCAATTTCATTAGCCTGCATTTTTACATTTATTCATTAAATTATTTATTTTTACTTTTATTCATTCTGTCTTTTTTCTTGCATACCCTGCTAAGCTGTCGTTTTGTTCTGCTTCCTGTAAGTTTAAAACCTACAGTCCTATTGCACTTTTCTCAATTCATAATTTCCTTTTGTTGGGTTATCTTTCTCATAATGTTCTCATTTCTTTTACTTAATGTTTCGTAATACTTTATTTGATTTTAAGCAAGAGTAGTTTCTGCTGAATGCGTGATTCCAATATGCCAGTGTTATGTTACAGTAGAATGATATGAAAATCAAAAATTCATTAGTCTGCATTTTTACATTTATTCATTAAATTATTTATTTTTACTTTTATTCATTCTTTTTTCTTGCATACCCTGCTAAGCTGTTGTTTTGTTCTGCTTCCTGTAAATTTAAAACCTACAGTCCTATTGCACTTTTCTCAATTCATAATTTCCTTTTGTTGGGTTATCTTTCTCATAATGTTCTCATTTTTTTTACTTAATGTTTCGTAATACTTTATTTGATTTTAAGCAAGAGTAGTTTCTGCTGAATGCCTGATGCCAATATGCCATTGTTATGTTACAGTAGAATGATATGAAAATCAAAAATTTTGGATAGCAGGAATAATTTTTTATAAGCTCCAGATTCTGTCAAGCAAGTATGTGTGTGTGATTATGGCAAAGCCTTGAGGGTTATCTGCCTAAGGGAAGAAATGCCTTCGTGGAGAATTTTCTAAGGGAAACTGGCTCGTATACACGTTACACATCGGGAAAACCACGAAAACGCCCATGCAGCCAGCCCGTTCGCAGGTTTCGAACTTCGGAACGAACTACCAGTGTTCAGCGAATTTACCACTCGGCCGCTGGTGGGCCTCAAATTTATATGTAATGTATTAGTGACCTCAACTAATGAGATGCATAGAGGGAGCTAGCTTTCAATCTGAGAGGCACCAAAAGTTCATTTTTCTAAGAGGGGTCCTAGAGCAAGGCCATCTTGATAAGAGATGGCCGAATCCAAAGGGGTTCTTCCCTGATGTGACTTCACGAGCGACGGCAACTATAGTAAGGCCATGTTCCTAGTATTTCATAATGACAGGCAGATAAGTTTACCTTATTACCAAACCTGTAAATCTATAATTCATCATACTTTTGTGCTTACTAGTTTATATCTTCTTTCTTTAACACATTGTTTAACGCTTAGCATCTCATCAGCCTAATTTCGCCCACCAGCGGCCGAGCGGTAAAGTCGCTGAACACTGGTAGTCCAGTCCGAGGTTCTAATCCCGCGAACGGGCTGGCTGCATGGGTTTTTTCGTGGTTTTCCCGATGTGTAACGTGTATACGAGCCAGTTTCCCTTAGAAAGTCTTCCACGAAGGCATCCCTCCCTTTAGGGAGATAGCCCTAGTGTGCTTTGCCATAATTAAATACACCACCAGCCTAATTTCAAGAAGTCTCACGACCAAGCTGTAAAGTCACTAAACATTGGTAGTTCGATCTGAGTTTCAGATTCCAGAGATACCCAAGCCCTTTCTTTCTCTATACATATTTCATATCGAGAAAATGCACTGTAAAAACTTCAAATTATAAAGCAAAAATATTTTTTTAATTTATTTTTTTTAAATACCACAAAGTTTTATTCATTGGTAATTTTCACCTTTACCATAGGGTACCTCCTTGTAAGTCTCTTTAATAAGAAAATAATAAGCAAGAAATTAACTCGGTTTCTATGATTGATATCTTCTCATAAATTATACGCAAGTTTTTCCAGAAACATAGACTTTGTACGAATATCAATAAATTATGGATTATTTCTCATCTAAATTGCTTAACATGTTTTTTCGAGAATTTTCCTGAATGTACTGTCCTTTAACATGTTTATTCCAGAACTATACTTTAGTACCGAACGACTGTTTGCACGCCGAATGACTGTTAACTATATTAAATATTCCAGTTTAGTTCAGTGACCATGACTACTATTATCAAAGAAAGAATCAATAATAGTATTAACGGATGTAATTTATAAGACATATAATTCGTATGCTTTATAATTATCTAATGTATAATATTATTATGACACTGTTTGCTCTAATATTGTAATTAATGAAAGATGTATCTAATGCTAAAATGTGTGTTTACTAATATCTTTTATTTTATCTGCTCTTGCTTTTATTACTATTATTCAAGTAATTAACCTGCTTATTAGATATTCTTTACTTGTTCTTGTGACATGTAATTCTATTTGTTTCTTATTGGCTGCTGTTGGCTTCCAAAAGTAAAACTAAGTAGTAACTGTAGTAAACAGAAAAGTAAAACTAAGTAGTAACTGTAGTAAACAGAAAAGTAAAACTAAGTAGTAACTGTAGTAAACAGAAAAGTAAAACTAAGTAGTAACTGTAGTAAACAGAAAAGTAAAACTAAGTAGTAACTGTAGTAAACAGAAAAGTAAAACTAAGTAGTAACTGTAGTAAACAAAAGTAATGTAGTCTGCGAAGTAAAAACCTAAAAGTAGTGTAAGAACTGTAGTAAAGACAAAAAATGAAGAAAAAAGTAAACAGAAAAGTGTGCTGCTTTTTGAAGGTGAGGAAATTTCTTCGGAAAGTGTGAAGACACTCTGTAAGAAAAGACAAAAAAGGGAAGAAAAAAGCTTCTTTCGCTCTGTGAGGTCGTTTAATATCCCAGGCAGGCAAAGGGGGAAACCTTGATTCGCGCAGTTGGTGTATATCGAGTGGGATACATATGTAGTCGAAAAAACAAAGATGCGTTCATTTCTTTTTTATTGGTGAAGATTCTCCTTTGCCCATTCAAGCAAAATGAATTAACTTTTTACGCTTAGTGGCTATAAATTTCAATATGACATCATCTTGTTTCTAAATTGTAAAATTTATTTCCTCCAAAAATTCTACGCAGATAGTAATTTAATTTAGTTTCTTGAGGAAAGTACATGCGTATTAAATCTTTCATTCAAGTTGTTAACAATGAGGACTTTCACTTAAAGACACACAAAAGAAATTTCCCCAACTCTTTACAGACGGTTCCGGCCTAGAAGAAGGTAAAGGCAGCGCAATCAGAATCTACCTAGATCCCAATTTCGACAATAGAACAAAAGTTCCACCTAGATCAACAAAGTAGTGTATTCCAAGCGGAATCAGTAGCGCTCCTTGAAGCAATAAAATACAACATCACAAACTCCCTAAAAGCAGCACATATCTTTACAGACAGTCTTTCAGCGATGCATGCCATCGCAAACACGCGGCACCGATCAAAATTAATCCAGGACATTACAGAAAGAACATCAGCATCACAAAATCAACACTTCTCTGTCACTTGGCTGAAGGTACATGCAGGGAGAAAAGGCAACGAGGAGGCTGACATTCTAGCCAAAGAAGCAGCTAGGGGTCAAAATGCACAAAATTTATCAGTGCCATGGCCTGGCTCACACCTTAAAAAAATCATAACCAACAAATCTAAAGGTGAATGGCAGAACTGGTGGGACTACGCCGAACAAGGAAGAAGGTCTTATCAGTTGTTCCCAAAAGTAGGAACAGCTCCCAGTTTAATAACTAGAGAAATAACGTGGTTCTTATCAGGGCATGGCCCTTTTCCCACGTACTTCTATGCAACGAAACTAGCAACTTCAGATCAACGTGCATGTGGAGAAAGGGGCAGTCCCGACCATTACATATCCAAATGCCCCCTTACAGCTGAACATCATCTAAAAGTCCCGATTTCAGAGAGTGAAGTGACTCCCTTTATTAAATACGCTACCAAGAACATCCATCTCTGAAAAAAAATCATAACTATAATGAGCTTCCTGTCCACAAGAGGCATTGAGCTATACAGCACAACCTAGAATAATATAACAAAGCTATCACATGAAACATAGTATGCAAGCAGACCTGGAACTGCCCTCCATAGCATGTACCTGCGAAAGGCACCAACCGTAAAAAACCAATGTATATTTAAGGGAAAAAGAAAGGCACTGCCCGCGGTCTGGTAAAATACAAAGCATTGCAAGCAACGCCTGGCAGGATCCCCTGTAAGCCCTGTGGGGTGTAATTTATCTGGATATCTAATGTGGCTGGACAATACCCACATATCCATATCCATATAAATATCCATATCCATTTCTCCATATCCCCCCATTTCTCCTACATAAAATCCATATCCATTTATCCATATCCATATAAAGACACACA